TGCAGACGTCGTGCATAATCCCCTAAACCCCTAAACCCCTAAACCCCTAAGGCCCTAAAGCCCTAAAGCCCTAAAGCCCTAAAGCCCTAAAGCCCTAAAGCCCTAAAGCCCTAAAGCCTAAACCCCTAATCCCTAGACCCTAAACCACTAAACCCTGAACCCCTAAACCCCAAAACCCCAAACCCTAAACCTCTAAACCACTGAACCCCACAGCCCTAAGCCCTAAACCCTAAGCCCCTAAACCCCTAAACCCTAAACCTCAAAACCCTAAACCCTGAACCCTAAACCCTTGAACGCCTGAACCCTAAAACCCTAACCCTAAACCCCAAAACCCTAAACCCCAAACCCCTAAACCCTAAACCTCAAAACCCTAAACCCCTAAACCCTAAACCTCAGATCCCCTAAACCCTAAACCTCAAAACCCAGAAAAAAACAAAACCTATTTTAAAAAACCGACAAATGTTGCTAACTTATTCAGCTCGGACCTAGGAGGCTCTGGGCTTCGCGCGGGCCTGGGGCTTCCTGGGCCCTAAACCCCTACCTAAACCCTGACGGGTTTAGAGTTCAGGGTTTGGGGTTTAGGGTGTAGGGATTTAGCGGGGTTTAGGGGTTTAGAGTTCAGGGTTTGGGGTTTAGGGTTTAGGGTTGGGTTTAGGGCAGACAGGTTAAAATCCTGGTTTGTTTGTTGGAGAGGAGGGGTTGGAGGGGGAGGGGACCCGGGCGGAAGATCGTGAAAACCACGATTAATTAATGCACGCTGTATGGCCCACGGGCCGCGCGACTCGTGCGCTCCGGACTGGAGGGGGAGGGTTTAGGGCTTAGGGTCTAGGGTTTATGGGGGTCCTCGTTATTTTTTCCTTATATACATGTTTTTGAAAGGTTGGGGTTGCAGTGTCCGGGTGATTATGCCGACCTATATTACCCCCCTACCTTGCGGGCTTATGCCCTGGCTCCCTCGACCTCGACTCTTTGTCTAAACGATATTGCGGGCCCACGAATTTTACGATGCAAGCGATCTATGGATTTGAAGAAGGAGGCTGAATATATTCCACTAAGGAATACCTGTGGCCCAGCAAAAGACCTACCTTTTAAAAGAACTAATATAGAACCCATAACAAGGAACCCCAAAAAGGTAGGTCTCTTCGGTTAAGGAATACGACTTATGCCGGCCCTTATAATTGGGGCTCTGGCGGGCTGTACGAGGATTCGCGTCGATGACTAGCGTTCCAAATCAAAAATCCAAGAATGCTAAAGGTTTAGGGTTTAGGGGTTTAGGGGTTTGGGGTTTAAGGGTACGGGTTTAGGGTTTAGGGCTTAGGGTTTAGGGTTTTACACTGCGCAAGCCTGCACCTCAACGCAGAAGCGTGAACTCGAGCAAACCCCCGATGGCCCGAAGCCCTGCACCTTGAACCGTGAAACTCTGAAGCCAAGACCAAAGAAAGACAACTAGAATCGGGTTTTGGGCTCCTTTATAGTATAATTATAGTAAGGAAACCCCAAACTAATATAGGTAATCATTAAGGCCCCTATAGTAAAGCATCACCCCACAGCCGGGAACCCAGGACATCTTGAGCCGAAAAGTGCCCCAAAGCTGGAACCTGAACACCCCAAACGTGGAAAACCGAAATCTACAGGCCCTAGAACCCCTGAAAAGCCCGAAAGTAACAGAGCGTCCTAATATGGGGCATGGATAAACATATGCATTTACATGTGTACATGCATACATGCATACATATATACATACATACATACATACATACATACATACATACATACATACATACATACATACATACATACACACATACGTACATACGTAGATACCAATCTACCTACCTACCTACCTACCTACCTACCTACCTACATACATACATACATACATACATACAAACATACGTACATACATAGATACGCTACATACATATGCATACAAATACGTATGACAATATTTGTTGCTTACTGTCCAGGATTCTACACGAAATCATCGGGGCTTCTGCCGGCGTCAGATATCTCGGAACTGCGGCAACCTGGGACGGGCTTGGGGTTCAGGGATCAGGGCTTGGGACGTGGGATTTAGGGTTTAGGGTTCACAAGGCCTCAGGCTTGGCCACGGTCTTGTCGCTGTTTACTGACGTGGTTGACACACTCATTCGCGATGTTTCCACACTTTTGCGGAAGCACTATCCCTGCACCAGCACCTGACGGAGGACCGCAAACCTAAGCACTAGTGTTGTTATTGCGATCTGAAAGCTATTACACGGTAAGTAGTGGAGCCTGGATCTTAGGACAACCTCTACACGCGTCATGCAAAGGCTCTTTCTGACGTGCGCACACCCTTCGCTGTGAGCCTTCGGGCGTGCAGGAAGGATCTCGACGGCTTGTGGACCTGTGCACTGAACCTTAAGTTTAGCACCGGTTTATCTTTACAAAGCCTCGAGATCACTTCGCTCGCCATGCGGCGTTGGCATCAGCACCCGTGACTAAGTCGCCTGGTGCTTTGCTGTCTACCAAGGTGACGAACGGCTCTGCCATCCATCGACGGAAGGCATCCCTCAAGAGCCTCGAACGCTTCGTCATGCAATCGGCCTTCATCTGCTCTGTCGGAACCCATCTCAGCCCACGACACTGCTGGCGCAAGGCAGCGATGTCTATTTCCACACGTTTCTCCGTGAAACTTGTAGACAAGCGGTGGATGGCGTCCCATAGCGACCTTGCGTCCGTGACGGGAACGACCTCCACCAGGGGCCTCTCGTTCATGGTGGCCACGTAGTCGGCCTTGATCATTTCACTCCAGACCAAAGCCATGAACCGGGCGTGGTCGTAGGCTCGGTCCAGGGCCGATGCTTCCGCAGCCAGAGTGCTCCGCAGGACTCGTTGGTGGCGGTAGCTTTTCCAATCAGCCAGCGACGCGGCTCGTGGCTGCGTAAGAACTTCCTGATCGGTGATCGTGATCACCAAGCCACCCTGGGATTTGTTACCAGGAGCGTTCGCAAAGCCGCTATCCCCGTAGGCCACGAAGATGAGCTTCTCTGGGTCCACCGGAGCGAACTTGATGCAAGAGTCAGCCGTAGCGCGAACATAGCGCAGAACCGCATTCACCTCCTTCAAGTCCGCCACTGTGAGGTCCTTGGGTGACTTCTGCAGTAAACTGGTGTCCGCAACTATGTCACCTCTCGTCGTCCCAGCGAGCCACTGCAGCGATCCGATACCGGAACGGAACTCGGTGACGAGCTCGGGGCGGTCGTGCAGCAGGATGCTGTCGTCCAACTTGACCTTAGTAGCCGGGACTTCGTTGACGTAGGAGGCCTGGTCCAGCGTGATGCTGCCGTCGGGCCATTGCTCGATGTGCCTGCCCACGAACGTGAACTCGCCGGAGCACCAGGGTGAGCCCCAGGTGAAGCTGCTCTCCACCTTGTTTAGTGTTTCTTCGAATCCGGCAAGGGCTCCACCAATCAGGTCGTCGACGTGGATGCCCAAGAGAGCGACGACCTTGTCACCATTCCGCTGCATGAACAGACATTGATCAAGAGAGTGCTGTGTCCAGCCGAGTTTCCTCAGGACCCTAACGACATGGTTGAACCATTGTCTCGGCGCATTCGATTGTCCATATACCGGTGCAGACAACCGATACAGAAGCCGAGCATCGCCCCACTGGGGAACTGCTTGAAGTGCAACGGGATCCTGGGGAGGTCGCATGTAAATGGCCTCTGGACGTTCTGTGTCAGGATCCCCTTGTAAAAAGGCCGAGCGACAATCCGCATTCCAAAGCAACACCCTAAAGCTTGCTGCCCATTGTAGCAAGAGATGCAGAGATGTCCTTGCCAAGACGGGGGCATCGCGGGTAAGAAGTGGTAAATGCGGGTCGCGGAACCCCGCGATCACGATTCTCGCTTTAGCCCTTTGGCCTTCGGGCACCGGTTTCCATCTATAGCAGACCCTGCTTTTCAAGATGAGATGGGGCGCCACCTCTCCTGGAGCCACACTCACAGCCTTGCAGCTGCTCCATCGTTCCCATTCGGACCACTCCTTTTTCAGGGCCTCCACGAAGGGCTCGACTTCTTCCGGACTCATGGATTTCCAATGCACCTCCTTCTTGCGGGCCTGCTGGGCCGCACGCTTGGCCTCGAAGGTGCCGTCCTCGCCCTCGCTCTCAGACGAAGACTCCATAGCAACCACCTTCTCCGTCTCGGTGGACGCACTGGTTTGAGGCTTTGTAGGGTAAGCCTGGAACACCGAAACATGAGACGGGGCATTGGAGTCGTCAGCGGTCTCCGAGCTTGCTGAGGTGGAAGTCAGAAACGACACCTTCCTCGATGAAGGAGTAAAGTTGAGCTTCTTGAGGTAGTCCAGGTGGTCCGCGGGCGCAATGTCGGCGTTGCGCGTCTGGTACGCGGTGAAACGTAGCGCTCGCCCTGGAACTTGTCCGAACCATGTAGTCGACCGGGCTCGAAGCTGGTGAGGTTGCGATGGGTGTTGTAACGAACCCCCCAATGTCTTTGTCCTCCGAAGCTCCTTTGCTCGCAGTCCTCGGCGGCGGTCTCGTTCTCGGGGAGCTCCACCCACAAGTCTCCACCCACGTGGTCACCGAGGGTGACTTGCCAATTCAAACTGCCCTTGCTGTTGTGGACGTCGCGGTGGAGCGAACTAGTTATGTTGCGGGCGATGAACAGGCTGCTAATGGGGCCTCGGACTCCATGGCTCTGCAAGTACTTGTTAAGGTACTTGGTCAAGTAGCCATGGGCATGCGTTGCTCTAGTCACGCCCATGTGGTTGCCGTGGCTGTAGTACCCGAGGGTAAGAGATCCAGAATGACGTCGCCGGTAAGCCAAGCAGCGTCGATCTGGGGGCTTCATGTCCACAACCTCGAGGAGCTGTTGGCAGGAGTCATGACTGTAGTCTTTCCGCCGAAGAAGCAACCGAGCGAGCTGCTCAGAAAGAGCCGTCTTGGTGGTAGTGGTCGCGGACGTTAATAAGGCCTGAGGCTCCATGCGTTGCCTTCTCGAGCTAGTGTCTTCGACCATGAGCTCGGGGATCACATGATGACAGGCCGTGAGGAAGGCGTCATGCTGGTAGATCGGCGGCGTTTCGCTGGGCGATCCATCCCAACCTTGCCGCAGATGTTGTCCTCGCGCATGGCGGCGTAAACATCTAGGCGATGCATGCCTGTGAAAGAAAAGGTGGTAGAAGACGTGAGTGTCGCGGAGGTTCCCGGTGTCTGGTAGTAGTCCAACTCGTGTCGTAGCTCGGGCCCGTACTCAAGAGGCTGTGTCTTCCTGCGCTCAAAGGGAACGCCCACCAAAGCATCGAATGCCTCTCTTTCCTTGACCTCGTCCAGCCACGAGACTACATCTCGGGGGTTGTCCACCGGGCGGCTGCCTCCACATCGAGGACACTGCTTGGGAAAAATGCGGTACTGCTCGCCGCAGTCCTGACAAAACACAAGATGAGCCGTTGGCTCAAGCTCACAAAGCGAAGATCTCACTGCCATTGAAGAGCTGGAAGCTGCTGCCGGTTTATCTTTACGAGAAAAGGCCCCCCCAACTCCTCAATGCCAACGTTCGGGGCGCGCTTGACACCACGAGCATCTGGGACCTGAGACTCGGCTATACTTTCAAGGGGACCAGCCTGCTGCGATGTCTGTCTGGAAAACGGCCTGGTAGAAGACGCTGTAGACAATCTACGGCTATTGCCGAGGGACCCAGGAAGTGCACGTTCTGAAGGGGGATCTTGTCCGGGTATAAAAGTCCGATCTGATCCGCACACATCTCTTTCGAACACAGATCCCTGTTGAGGGAGAACGGCAACATCTGATCCTTCAGCCTGAATTGGGGGTTCTGGTACTTCAGGGGACCCAGGAAGTGCAAGATCTGAAGGGCGTCGATCTTGTTCGGGTAGTCCGGGCTTGTCTCGCACCGCCGACCGTGACCTAGCTCGGGCTCGCGGGGTACCGGGCGTCGATCTCGGAGTGGGCGGTATGACCATCATCGGGCTAAACATAGGCGCTTCGGAAACTGGATTGCCAGCTGGGTCCAGCACCGTGCGGGCATCATCTTCATTCATCGCTGGCGTTTGAGCAGGCAGATCGGCTTCAGCGTGAGGGTGCGCTGCTGCATGCTCCTGTTCCAAGTCTTGAAGCACTTCACGATCGACCTGAGGAGCTGGACGGGCTGAAGGCGTGCGAAAGGCACGCGGACGTATACGCAGCTCCTCGTCACAATTTTGAAGCACCTCCAGGTCCGAAGGGTCGGGCGCCCACCACTCCTGCTCACCACAAACTGGACGGCATTGCTCTGGGGAACACTGCACCAGGCGGCCGCGGTCATTGCGAATCCATATGTTCACGGCCACGTTGGAGCTGGGGTTGCGATCGAGGGCCAACACCACACCTTGCCTATACCCCTCAGCTGTCCCTTCTCCGTCGCCAGTAGCAGTGCGCATGCGATAGTACGCCACTTTCTGTCCGGGGTAGAAAGCACCACGGTAAGGACGGCCTTTCCGAAGTAATGCTGCTCGTAGTGCTTCGTGAGCTTCATACGTATGATGATTGCGCATCGCTTCGGTTCTGACCGCCTCGATTTGCATAAGTCTCGTGCTGTCATTGACCAACTGCGCGGCCTCGATGGAACCACCGTCACTAAGGAGGGCGGCGGGAAGTTTTTGATCTCGCCCATATACCCACTGGGCAGGCGAACTTCCCGATCGCCGCACCAATCTGTTCTTGGCGTAGCATGCCATGATGACACATAGATTGACTTCGGGCACCGTGAGTGCAGCGAACTGGTGGATGAGCCGGCGCACGTTGTACTTGAGAGCCTGTCCGTGGCGTTCGGCCTTCCCCAATTGCCAATGGCTGTCTGGCGGGACGCATCGCACGGCAACATTGAGCTGGGCATGGAGATTTTCAAATCGCATGCCACGGAAAGCTCCTTCGGCGTCAATGGCCATTTCGTCAGGAGGTCCGAAGTACTGAAACCAACCTCCAACCAAAGTTGCAATGACGCAGTCCTCGGAGCGACTCTGGAGACGT